TTTTTATCAAATAAGGAATTGCTACTTCAGATACAGAAAAAAAATCCAATCCTTAGTTTAAATAACTTAAATTACAACGGATTTTGATAATCTGAAAAGAAATAGAAATTAAATTAAAGAATAAGCCTATAAGATTGACTAACAATTTATTAAACGTTTTTTTTCCCATTTAAGCTAACCCAGTGCATATTTGCTCCTCAACTTTTAATTTATGTCTAAAATAACGAACTATTATTATAAAACTAATTTATGAACTTACAATTAGTTCAAACACGATCGAACGAGAATTCAACTTTAAGGTGATGAAAATTGATAGTCTAAAAAGTTCTTTAATATATTAATTTTCGTCATTTTTTAAGAGATGTTAAGAATAAAAAATTTATTAAACAAAACTCCAAAGGTAGTTGGTTCTTTTCTATCAAAAAAATATAATGAAATTACACTTAACACGATTAAAACCTTTCTCAAATTCGTATTATAATATAAAGTTATAAACTTTCGAAGTTTTAGAATTTTTAAGTTTTCATGGTATCTTATAAGTTATTTTATTAAAATTTAATCATGTAGTCGATTTAATGAAATCATATTTTTCTTAAAATATTTTGTTAATTTATATTTAAGAAAATGCAAAATTACGATATTTGAAAAAGCTCAAGTATCATGCACTATAGACTATGAAATTTTTTCGAAAATTTATAATGTTACTGTTTTTATATTTAAATTTTAAATTATATTTACCTAATTATATATACATAAAAAAAATCAAAATAAATATAACATAACTAATCGATATTCATTTTATTTTTTTAATTTTCAATTGAAAAATCATTCCCTTCAATATATTTCAATTTATTCAATGCAAAATTGAACCACGATAACGAATAATTTACGATAACATATAAAATTATTTGAAGGACTATATTATTATTTTCAGCCTTCACAATTTATCAAATGGCCTAAAAGTTTTTCTTCACAGTTCTCATTGCAAAACTGAAGCAGATGTCCAAAAATCTTGCTCAATGGTCCTTCCTAAGGTTACAAAAGCAAATGGCGACGTCGAAATACTCCAAGAATGAAGAACTTTACATGTTCCAACCGTATAGGCCCGAGATTCGAATTTGAACACTGGTCTGTGCATGAAAAATCTGGCTTCAAACTGGAAGACAATGGAATCTGAAGTTAAATGACAAAAATATCAGTTAGGCATAAACATAAAGCTCCAAGGATTTGATGCACCATAAGAATCAACGGTACCGAAAACCAACCTTCAAGAGGAAGCTAATAACTCATTTCATCGGGTGCCCAAATCCATATTACATATAATAATTCAAGTCAAAGAGTGTACAAGTTCATCTGCAGATCCCTGAGTCGCTCTTATCCAATCTAGGATATCAGAGCAGTCTTCACAACTAAGAAATTGCCTGCGTGTAAATAAATTTAAGTGTGTGAACGTGATAGGGTAAAAAATGAAACCAAATATACTTAGGTACTCCTTTAGTCCTACCGGTTCCTGGTGCGATAACCCTTCAGTTCAGAAGCTTCTCGGTGGTTTGTGATATCTTTGTTCATTTTTAAAGAATCAGGGATAACTAGAGTTCCGGTCTGGTCATGGTATGCATCATAAATGAATTTAAGCACCTTTTCCTGTAAAAGTTGTACACTAGAGATTATCATAAGGGTTAAAACTGTTTGAACATTGAATCTATTGATGAAAACGAATAATCAATGGCAGAAGATTAAAGAGATAATATAAGAATTTGGAATTCCAATGCCCAAATATCAATGAGACATTCGTAAGCATCAAGTCCCAAATAACTTAATTACATGCAACCAATCAGCTCTGCAAATGCCAAAAAGTTTTCAAGAACTAAATAATATACGACTTATAACTTCATAATACGTAGACTGTGCATTTATAAAGCTGTATAATGAACTATCATTTTCTTTTCAATAGAACGTACCTGGTGATGTGAATACTAGATAAAAACTCTATATAATTGAGAATGAAACTCAGTTTTCCATAAGTTTACCCCCAAAATATTAGGATGCATGAGTTTTGGACAGCTAAAATTTTTTTGTTCATGTTTCACCTTTATTAGTAATGAGACATAACGATAAGAGCAAAGAGCTCTTTCTACAGGTATGAAAGAAATGCGTGTCAAAGAGCATGCTAGAATAAGTAGAAGACAAATCAATGTTTTTTTTTTCAGAGTAATGTTGGTTATTTAGTTTGAAGAACATTACGGGCAGGTTATCTGCAGAAAGACATGCATATAGTATCTTTCCAGAGCAATTCACTTCCTTTTCTTTTTGTTAAAATTTCTCTATCCTTCTCCATAGGACAGAGCTGCTACAACCACATCCCAACCCATGCCAACAAGAAAACCCTTGGTAGCCAACTTCAATCCAGGTCCTTGGATTCCCCTATGGTCTTGCTAAAAGGGGAAGTGCTGGCGATCTATGGGTTACTGGTTGGTATTAAAGCATCAAAGACAAAGGAGGATCTCCCAAAACAAAATGAACTGCACATGACATACTAGGGATTTAGAAGCATCTAGCCAGTGATAAATACGCTCATTACGGAACCATGTCATTTGCCTTTTTGCAAAATTCCTGCAAAACAATTTGCAAATTGATAAATATCAATTTAGCCAATTACAGAAAGAGGAACGAACGAGAATGAAATTAAAGTGGATATATTTCTTCCAAGAGAAATGATTCAGAGCTCCAAACAATCCTGGCCTAAAGCCATTCTCTCCCAAAGAAAAAAGTTTGAAGGAAGTGCCTTATAAAAAACTTTCCAGGCCTTAATTGAACACAGCAAACATTGCCATTGTTTAAACAGATCATACGTTAAAATCTGCACTCCTTAGTATTTCTGCATTCTTTTCCGCACATGCACCACAAGAAAGAAAAAAGAGAGAACAGATACTTTCATGCCTCCTCATCTTTTACAAATTTCTCCATTATAGACCTTCTTACCTATCTGACTTAAGTAAATAATGCTGCTCGTGCCTCTTCTTTTCTTTTATGCAATTTCTACTAAATGCATAATATGTTAAGAAAGCTTGAACATAATGAATTGGACTTCAATAGTAAAAATGAATTGTATTCTATAGTAAAAACTTACCGAGAGGCCTTCTGAAATTCAGACAAAAATGCATAGAATTCCCTTGTAGAACTGCAACCCCCTTGTTGCCTGCACTTCACAAGGTATTCCATGGCCTGATAGTAGTGAACCATAGTGATAATACTATAAGCAGTATGTCATAAAAGTCATTGAGCTAGATTACAGATAATGGAACATCCAGTAAAAGCCTCGCCAGGAAGTATGGTAGAACAATTTAAGTTTATTCTTTTCTCCGTCCTCAATAATTAACATAAGTTACATGTGACATCATGTTTGCTTGAAAATGCAGAAGACATGTTTATACACAGCACATGTAGTTGGAGATTTAGTTCACAATTAAAGAGGAAAAAACAAATTTTTTAAACTCCTTGACTGCATAAAGGACCAAATTCTAAATATTACATTGAATGCAACAATAGATTAAAGGAAAGAAAAGAGTGGAAGAACAAACGGCATACCTGTCTGTAACCAATTGCTCGAGTTGCAGAATTTGAATTTGGTAGAAGGCCCATATCAAGAAGACAACTAGCTTCAGACAATAGTCCATCCCGTCCTACAGTTGAGAACAATCCATCAAAGGGAAACATTAACGAATTTAAGGCATATTTGCACATCACAAAACAAACTGACCCATTGTACATACACACTAAACTTGCATTTCAAACACCACCATAACATGGCTCATTCTTGGTGGGAGGAGTTGAAGCCAAGGGCTTTGTTTGTCAATAGACATTAATCAAACTGCTCATGATGTTAAAGAAAACACCTCATAGTGGAATTGACTGAAGGATAGGATACTTAGGAAATCAATTAGCCATCAAAAGTTAAATAGAAAAGTTAACTGACTCAAAAGCACAACCAAACTACCAGACTCACCTAGGTGAAATAAAGCAAAAAAACTGCTTTCAACAGCCAAGTTAATATGTGCTCAACATACATACAACCATGCATATAAAGCCACAACAAAGCAGCAAATGAAAAAAATATGATCACCTTAAGTTTTATTAAGCATGACTAGCAATACAGCCAACTATTCACCAGAATGGGTAATGAGCACATATGGAAGAATACCAGGAAAAAACACAACTACTACTATGTAAAGAAACTTCTACTATATACAGGGAAAACTAGAGAATTTGAGAGCATTATAGCAAAAGAAAATAAATTCACTAAATTTGTAGCAATACCATTATCTACCTGAGAGCATGTCTTCACACCGCAAATCAATTGATCTATAGAGATCTATTCGAGGACTTGAGAGGAAAAAACAGATGAAGTCATAATCCAAATTGTTTGGCACAATTTGCTCAGGAACATCAGAAGAAGAGTCGATATCTTCAAAGCCATCTTTACCATTTGACACAGATTTCTCTCTGAACAAATCATATGGTACATGAAAAGCAGATGGAGGAGATCCACTGGACTGCCACACAGAGATTATTGAGGAAAGGTAAGTAAAGATACTCAACATATCCAAGTAAGAATTCATAAGTCAGCACACAAGACAAGCTTCTAGACATTTGTTTATAACCCAGGTAGTGAACAGAATTATAGAACAAAGGAATTTGCTAATTGGAAGACCAGCTGCTGATAATTTTTATTAATTTTTCACATTTACATCCGTAATGTTTTTGTGCAACTGTCTATATGCATACGAAGAGAGCAAAAGACAGAGAGAGTGGTATTTTATCATTCAGAAAATATAAAAGAAAGAGTAACAGATAACAAACTGACTTTAATTATCTCAAGGCTGCGTCGCAGGCGGTACCAATCATTCGCGGCCAACATGTTAGCCTTTGGATCACCTGCCTTGACCACCAACTGGACAGCTGCATCCCAGTCATCATCCCTCTGTAAATTCTCAAGTTCAGAATGTACTTCAGAAGCAATTTCTGGAGAAGACTTAGGAACATCTGGTTTTCCATATATAAACCTAATTGTTATAACAAAGAAAAGACAATCAACATATGCTGGTAGAAGTTATCTTCTTACATAACTTAAAAACAAAATAATCACTTCACAGCAAATAACAATAATAAAATTTGTTTCCACAAAACACCAAGTTGACGTAGCATACAAAATCATCTAAAATACTCAAAGGATTTTTAAAACTCAACTTTTACCGCATTAAGATAATTTGTTCAGGAAATGAATTGAACAAATCTCGACATTAACAGGATATTTTAATTCAATGTATCAAACATCATCAGTTTAATACACAGATATTAAATATGTGGGACAGAAGAGTTTTGGAAGATTGCAAATCTTCCAACTTCCACTGTTCTCGAAGTCCCACCATTAAAAGAAGATTGCATATGATCACTGTATTTATGCAGTACGCAATCTTCTTACTAAAGTTCACAACCCCATACAGCATGATCGTAAGAATACAATCTTAGAATTATAAAATCGCATGTTTTGGAAAGTCAAATTTCCACTGATGACTGCAATATGTTCATCTTACCTTGATGAAAAGTCAGATATCTTTATAAGAAAATTCAAGTTAACTCCTTCAAAGAATATAGCGCTAGCAATAAACTTATTTGTTACGGCTATAATAGAATATACTTAATTGCTTATCAAAGAGACTGGATACATGATATGAGAGAGAATATTTGCATTTCAATTTCAAAGGTTAACTATAGGAAGCTAACAGGAAATTGCTTGACTTGAGAAGTCATGGTCCTACCTTATCAACAATTTTCGCATAATTTCATATTCTTATTTCCTTGGAAATCATTCTTGTATTTGCATACTAACTATTTTACCAGGCGCATATGCAAACTTTAGTCATCATAACATTAGCTTAAGCAAATCAAGTAGTAAATTGTGAAGCACTCTTGAGTGTTGAAGTTTGAGCCTTGATGCATTTATGTTTTTCATAGAGAGGAGGAGAAAGCATTTGAGAGAAAGAATTCATAAAGCTCACCTACTAAAGGACATGCAGAAACATACCATCGCAAGTACAATCCAGTGCCCCCAGTGACTATGGGAACATGTCCACGGTTAAGTATATCTTGTGTAACTTGCCTTGCATCCTCACAAAATTGCCCAACCGAGTATTCTGGAAAGCATGAAACTTTTTTTCATTGACAAATAAAAAAAAAAAACTAGGGAGCATATAATATGGAAATATCATCAATATTAAACATAAATATCATCAAAGTTGACATTTTCATGATTCCACAGATAACATACCTTCAGATGGATGCAATATGTCAACCAGATGGTGTGGCACTTCCTGCAAAAAGGATTAGGGCTAACAATTATCTTTAGCTACATACACCTACTTATCAAGGTTCAGTTACTGAGTAATAGGCTATGCAAAATCACAAGGGAAAAAAGTACTATTGAAAGTTTGACAACAAGAACTATGTCTAACATCAATTCAGCAAACTAGCTTGGAACTCATTGATTCACTATCAAGAATGATAATTTATGCATGGTATCTGTCACCAATAAAAGCAGTGTCCCCTGTCTAAACATAGCTTATTATCAATAAAATATGGGACAAGAACCCTACTTTAGTGATTAGTTATAACTAAGATCAAGGCATGCACTACTTTAATTTCTTCCAACTTCTCAGTGAATAAATAGAAAAATATAAATAAGATTATGCGCATTCTGTGTGTCCTAATTAAAATGTGATGATGCAAGCATAGAAGACGAGCATCACAAACGTATCCAGAAGCTCAAAATTTTTAGTCAGTATATGGCAACTCTTCATAGCAATGGCTTTCCGCATTTTCAAAAGCTTAAAAATAGATTTCCACAGCAAAAGCACACGTTGAACTCATATATCTCTATTTACCTTTCTATCAATGAGTGAAGGCTTTGCAGATCCAATATCAAGACTCCGATATACCTGCTACCCAAAGATAGTAAGTCCATGAACAAGCCATGTATTTCATATCAATACTAAACTTCTTTGGTGCATTAATCCATGTTAATATGATAAAAGTGTTTGTGGAGGGATAAA